AATAAACACCCCCTCCCTGACATTTAATAAAAACGATAATCCTACATTTTCTGAAATTACAATACAGAATTAAAACAATTTTTTTCAAGTGTGTACTCATAGTTGGCAGCACACAGATGTTCAGATTGTTGGGACAAATTAGCATGAGCAAATGTGGTACTGCATAGACAATTTCAACTACAGCCTTGCACTGCCAGAATAAGCTATTGGGGATGTAAAAGAGAACAATATCACAAACAAACAAAGTCTCATCAACTGTGTTTTAGAACATTTGGCCTTTGAACCCTCAGATTTGCATTTGATCAAGATTCATACTGCCTACTTTTAGATGGCCAAACAAACCAAAAGCAAGCCTCAGAAGTCCTCCTCTTAATAAAGTCATTGATAGGATTGTAAGACCGGACCAGAGAGGATTAATTGCTAATCATTTTATTTATCAGAATGCATAAAGATTGTTCAACCATATGAAAAAACATAACAGCAGACAGTATTTATGTTCCCTGCTGCTGAAAAAGTATTCGACACAGTGGAATGGAAATCCATGAAGCAGTATTACATTACTGTAATTTAGGAGGAAGGTTTAGTGAACTGATATCTATGATGTATAAGAACCCCAGACCAGAGTAAGTGTAAAGAGGGTTTTGTCAAAAGAATTGGAACTTCACCGAGGCACAAGGCAAGGATGTCCTTTATTTCATTTATTTTTTGTAAGCATGATAGAGACACTTGCTATTATATTTAGAAGTGAAACAGAAGTTTGTGGGGTCCAGATGGGGCGAGATAATTTTAAACTCTCACTATTTGCAGATGATCTAGACCCATCTATCATGAAGCCTTTTGTGTCCTTGCCAGTTGTGTTAAGGATTTTGCATTCTTTGGTGGGAATCTCAGGATATAGAGCATGGATGTATCTCAGAAGAATGAACTTGCTCGTTTAATAGACATCCCATGGCATTGTTGTCCTATTAGATATTTGGGGATTTGGGTTCAGGAAGATATGAGTAAAATTGTGGACGTTAATCATGGCAAACTTCTCTTAGAATTAGAAATTCAGTCAAACAAATGGAGATTACTCCCAATATCTTGGTTGGGGAAGACTGCTACTATCAAAATGTCTGTGTTACCAAGACTATTGTTTTTCATCATGAATATTCCCATAACAATCAATCCAGGAATATTAAAAAGTTGGCAAAAGTGAGTCATTCTGTTTTTCTGGCAAAATAAACCCAGTAGAGTAGGGGTGTCTAACATAAGGTCCAGGGGACAGAACTGGCCCATCCAGGACTCTTATCTGGCCTGTGAGCAACTGATGTGATGGAGGGAACGGGAGGCTAATGGGGGAAGTGGGCAGAACTAGTCTGATTTTGGCTTCAGCATGGTGAAACCTCACCTGCAGTAATCAAGCAGAATTCTTTTGCTTCAGTGGCAGCCTCACTGGAAAGTTGAGAGCCACCACAACTGCATTCATTCCGGCTCAGGGTTCCAAGGCAAGGTTGCATGCCTCTCCACTCAGCCTGCAGCCCCGGAGATATTGTCCCAGATGGTCGTGGGGGGTCAGCATTTGCACACGGGAGGGGTGCAGAGGATCCTCTGCTGGTGACTGCTGGTGGCCAGCACCACCACTGTATTCGCACCCCCCATGTGACAGCTGGGCTTTGACCCATGCAGGGGTGTTTTTTATCAGTTTCTTCCACACATTGGGGGCCAAGTCCTGCCACCAAGCATGTGACCTGGTGGCCAGGCATCCCTTCCCTTTGGATCACCTGGCAGCCTTCAACCATAGGCAGCTGCTGCCTTGTGGGGGGGGGTGCTGACGAGCTCTGGTTATATAGGTTGCTAGGTGGCCTTGGACCTCTGCCACATGCACAGCTTTGTGTACACAGTGCCCGCTTCCCCATCAGATGATCAAGCAGACTTCGGCCTCAGGCAGCTACCATTGCATGGGGGTGGTGCAGCCTGCTGTTGCTCTCTAGCTTGAACCCCCAGCACCACTCCACAATGGATTGCTTGGCAGCCTTAGCTGGAGGCGGATGCTGACACAGGTGTCTCCAGCTTATCGGGCTTTACTTGGCCTGTCCCCCCCCCACTTTTGCAAGCAGGGAGCTTAGTTCAACTTGTTTTCCCCACCCCCTTCCATAGTGGCATGGGGGCAGGGGGGAGTGTGCAACACCCAAGCGCTTCATGTTTTTATCCTTGGGCCTTGGCTTGCAGCATTTGCAGTGGGTTTTCCCGTCCTCCAGGCAGCATGGGAACATCTGCCCAGCGCTGCATCACTGGCTCTCCAGTCTGCCCATTCTGGTTTATCTCTGAACCCCTCAGCCCATGGGGCCTTGCAGTGAGGACACACCAACTCGGAGTTTACCAGCTGCAATCCTTTAAAAAGTTAATATCGCTTCTGCCTGGCAGTACATTTTCTGGCACACCTGGCCCAGCCCAACAAAGTCACATTTATGTCAGATCCAGTCCTTGAAACAAATGAGTTTAACACCTCTGCTAGAGTTTCTGCTAGAATCCTGTATCAGAAACCTTCATGTGGAGAGCTGGGTGTGCTTAAGATATATCATTATTATCAAGATGTTAGATTAAGATGGTTAGACCAAATAAGAATTTGAGTGCTGTTGAAAAAGTAATCAACGGAAACTTGTCAACTATTGTTTCGTTTGTTAACAAGAAATATGAATTTGAGAGTATTAATGCTGACTTAAACATTTGGAGGAAACTGAGACCAATATTGAGTCCTGGTCTATCACCATTGACATCTGTTTTTTATAATGAGGAGGTGCGAGATGTGAGCTATTTAGGAGATACTCAGCTATGGAAGAAAACTAATCTGTCTGCACTTGAAAGTTTATTAAGCAATGAAGGGAGTCCCTCTTATGATCAAATTGTTACTAAAATGAAAGGAGAAAAACTGCAATTATTTCAGTTAGGCATATGATTTCAACACGGATTCAAAAGCATGGGAAATGCCAGCAGAAAACAACTTTTAAAAAAACGACTAATGGCTGGTACCTGGGAAAGTGTGTGAGCTGTATACATTAATTTTGAATGAAGAGGTAGTGTTTGATAAACACCTGAGGAAATGGGAACAGTGGCTGGGAGAAGAGATAACAACTAGTGAGTGGGCATGGATCTGCGAGACAATACCAAAGAATATGTTGTCGAAAGCTTTCACGGCCAGAGTTCATTTGGGCTGTATGGCCATGGTCTTGGCATTGTAGGACCTGACATTTTGCCAGCAGCTGTGACTGGTATCCTCAGAGATATAACACAGAAAGACGGAGTACTCTCTGTGACAAGGTGAGAAGAAAAAGAAAAATGGTAGCCAGGTAATTTATATCTACTCAGGAAGGTGGGGTAGGGCTGAGTCATTATCTTGTAGGATAATCTTACAATAGCACTACAGATAAGATTAGAATTTCAACAGTCAATCCATATGCAAAAGAACCTCCTCAGAAAAGCTCCTCCATTAGCATGTCATAGCCTGGGGAACTCCAAGACCACAGCCATACAGCCCATAAAATCTACAACAACTAATACCAAAGAAGTTGATCTCCAGTTACTGTAAAGAGAACTTTTATAAGATCCTACATGATTGCGACTTAACCCCATATAAATTGGAGCAAATTTACAATATATGCATAGATATTTGTTGGAGATGTCATTCCCTGGGGCAGACCAATTCCACATCTTTGGGGAATGTACTGGAATACAGGGGTTTTGGTTCTCAGTATTGGAAATAACTCATGAGATTATTGGTTATGAAATCCATTTTGATTCTAAAGTTATTATGTTATGCTATTTTAAAGAGGTGATGGAGGATACAGATTTGGCGTTGGTGACCAATCTTATAACTGCTGCTAGAATGTGTGGAATGTGTGGCGGTCCATACAATATCTAATGTCTTTACAGAATTTGAAAGATCACTTATTTTATTAAATTAACATATTGTAAAAGTATCCTGGGTGGTAAGAATTTGTATGAGGACAAATTCTTGAAATACTGGATATTTTTATTATGGTTTGGAATAATAAACGTGAGGAGGGTATACACCCACATATATTTTTGAACTAGTCTGAAAATATTGTATGTATTATATAGCTATATGGTTGTTTATAATCTCAGCAATATACTACATAGTATGCAGATCTCATAGATGTATGAGAAAATTGCCTTTCTACTTGCTAATAATTTTGCCACCTCTAAGATATTAGTCACTCCGAAACGTTTGTTTTAAAACTATACAAGGAAAACACTTATTAAAAATGCAAACTAATAATCATACGAGCATTTTTGTTCTGCTCAGCCTTGCCAGTCTATATGGCTGTTATAGGCCACAACACAGAAAACATTCAGGTGTTCTGTTCTGTGGTTTTATGGCACAGTTGTTGGATAAAAACGACAATTGTTGATTATATAGATGATTTATATCCCTAGTATACTTATTAATACTGCTTTACTTTGTTTTTGCTTTCATTAGATTGATCATATGATATGATATGATAAGCATTAGTCTGTGTTAAAATTAATAATGGTATATTTAAAAAAAGAAGTCCTCTGCTCACATGCGACAAATAGACTGAAGACTCCCATGTTTATTACAAACTCAATTTGCTGTGTGACATCCAAATCACAGAAAATTACAAATTCTGTATTAAAACGTACTTCGTAAGTAAGTATGAAAACACACTTTGTAAGTAAGTATTACTTTGTAAGTAAGGAAAAAAGGTTGTTTGGTTATCTGAACACAGCCACTCTATATCAGGCAGCTCAAGAAGGCTGTGGCAATTTTGTTAATCCAAAAGAAACTGAAGATGTTTCTTAGAGTTAATCAGAACTGTATTATTCAAAATGTATATGTTTTCTTTTCATATTTTGTTCCCTTCTCAGATTCACACACCACTTCTCAAACAGTTTTCTGAGTAAACTGACACTATTCACATAGTCATCAATGTACCTTCAAGAAAACATACCAAAAATATTGCCAGGAACATTCTTACCTTGCATTGTTGTTTTTGTAGGTTCAGAGAAGAGAGGAATGAGCAGGAGATAGATGAGGTAGACAAATGAGAGCCCATTGTAGCGGAATGCACATGCTGCACAGAGAAAAAGTGAGAGAAAAAGTCACCAAGTGGGTTTATACAATACATGCATCCAGCAACTAATTTAAATTGATTGTACAGAGACCTGAAAAGTGTGCTGTATACACAGGGATACACAAATTTTTCACATGTGAACTCTTCTACCACTTAATAAATACATGTGAATGAGACAGAAGACAACATACATTTTTTACTCCACCAGTCCGCTCCAGGGAACTCGGCCACCCTGAGCCTGCCTCGGCGGGGAGGGCGGGGTATAAATCGAATAAATAAATAGATAAAATAATATCCTGTCTAACTATATTGTCAGCTATACCACATTCTGTCTCACAAACTGGGCATTTCTGCATGCTTAATTTACTCTTGATTTTCTTGGCAATTGATCCACAAGCATTGGAATCAGTTGGGTATGGTTCTTCCACATGTCTGTCCTCCCTCTGCATTTCCACAGTTGTGGAGCCAGTCTGTGTTCTTCCACACATGTAATGAGGATTTTCAAGGAACGGTGCTGTCACCATCAGTTGTGGCATTGGTGGCATCAGAGCACCCCCCTTCTTTTTAAAAAATGCACTACAATACCGATATATTGCTAGAGGATTGTAACAATAGGCTTAGTGGGTTCTCTGAATTCCCAGCTTTTATTTTTAAAAAATGTATAACCCGTTTCTTATGGAGATATGCCATTTTTTCTTATACCTCTGTGAGGGAAGGATCAAGGGATTTACTTTTTCTTAAATGAAAGATGGGAATTCAGAGAGCCTGCTAAGCCTATTTTTACAACCCTCAAGCAATATATTAATATTTTAGTGCCATTAAAATAAAAGAATGAAACCACTCATCTTCTTGGTGAGGGGGAGAGGGAGTGGTTTGACCATGACAGTCCAATGATCAAAAAGCAGGCTGGAGGTAAGTGGGAGTGAGCAGGACAAAGAAAACCAACATAATCATTCATGGGGGGAAAGGTGACTCGAAACTGGTTTCCACAAAAAAGATTGGGATAAAAGTGGTCTCACCGTGACCTGGAACCTCCACAGTAGGTCTGATCGCTTTACTGCATGTTAGTTTGCCCCGGGGCAAACAGCCACACTTCTCCTCTGCAGTTTCCTGCCCGTGTGACAGGGGCCAATATCATGCATGGGGGAAAGGTGACTCGAAACTGGTTTCCACAAAAAAGATTGGGATAAAAGTGGTCTCACCGTGACCTGGATAGCCCAGGCTAGTATCCCAATCTTGTCTGAAAAAGAAATACTTGGAACAAAAACCTCCCCAGGACTCAACAGGGATTTTTATCCCGTTATATATGCTAACTCATTCGGTCCTCACATATGTATTCTCAACAAGGACTATAAATCCTCTGTACTTTTAGTGTATTTCTTTTTCAGAATAGGATATTAGAATACTGAATAGATGTCTGCTGACAACATTACATCCAGCTCAAAATATACTGTTAAGTGCCCCCCACATGCCCTCTACGCCTGAGAGGAGATAATTAAGATTCTGTTACTTCCCACAATTAGAAAAAACACCTTTAGACATTCATCTGATATTTTGACATATTTATTGCTTTACAACTGTTGACCTTACAACCTTGTTATTTAGTTTTTCACTTTGCATAACTTAAACATCATCATGTTACATGTTAATTTGCTGTTAAATCCCTATCTATAAATTTGGAACCTCATCTACCATTCCAATGTATTTGAAAAAGTGTGCCTTGCATATGAAGAAAACTCACACCCTGAATAAACCTATGTTGGTCTTAAAGGTGCCACTGAATTCTAAATTTGTCCTACTGCTCCAGACTATTGAACCCATGTTTTCCTTTGTGCTTCATTGTGAACCTTCCCTTTAAGATTATCATTCAGTGACACATTGGACCAAGCAGCAGCTTTACCATATAATATGTTTGTGTCTTTGGAGTAGGCCATAAATGCACAGTGTACTGCAAGCACTCTATATGGAAAAAAAAAAAAAAGGGGGGGGGGGGGGGGAGCCAGCTGTGATCCAACCACACAGCAGATGTTGAAATATTATAAGACCCACCACACTGAATGTTTTCTCATGAGATAAGCCAAATGCAGAGGTGTCAGTATAGGAATAGATTGTTTACACAAAGATGTAAGTGCCCTCTGTGAAATCTAAAATACTTTTCATACTGGTGACCAGGTCTAGAATCTCAGATCTGAACAGAAATATTTACTTACAAATATTAGAGCCAGTAATCTTAAAGCTTGCTATTGCTGTTAATCCTGAGAACCATATTATAATGTCCTTCCTCATTTTAAAAAAAACCGTTCTGAACATTATCAGAACTATCTCAAAGAAATTATAATCAAAAACCAAATCTCACATATCAGCTGTTTTTTTCATGAATGGCTCCTACATGGTCCGGTCATATTCCAGTGCTAAACCAGCACCTGCTCTGGATGTGTGTGCTGATTTCATGTAATCTGCATTCTGAATAGTTATCATGCCAAAATTATTTTGAGCGTGTTAACAGCCAGACCCCTCCTCAAGCTCAGAACAGCCTGGGTAGGCTTACCAAATTCTGGTGGGGGAATTGTATTTCCTGGCAGGAGCCTCGCCGCGGGGACGGCTGCACGCGCTGCACCCACCATCGCCAGGATGTGATGCTCCGTGTCGCTCTGGCAACGAGACTCCAAATAGCCCCATTGCCAGAGCAACGCGGAGCGTCACATCCTGGTGACGGCGGGTGCAGCGCGTGCAGCCATCCCCGCGGCGAGGCTCCTGCCAGGAAATACAATTCCCCCGCCGGAATTTGGTAAGCCTAGCCTGGGGCAAGCACCACTAGGGC